TTAAGATCTTTTTTGTACAGTTCTTCTGTGTATTCTTGCCACCTTTTCTTAATATCTTCTGCTTCTGTTAGGTCTATACCATTTCTCTCCTTTATTTTGCCCATCTTTGCATGAATTTTTCCTTTGGTATCTCTAATTTTCTTGAAGAGATCTCTAGTCTTTCCCATTGTATTGTTTTCTTCTATTTCTTTGCATTGATCACTGAGGAAGCCTTTCTTATCTCTCCTTACTATTCTTTGGAACTCTGCATTCAGATGGGTATATCTTTTCCTTTTTCCTTTGCCTTTTACTTCTCTTCTTTTCTCAGCTATTTGTAAGGCCTCCTCAGACAACAATTTTCCCTTTTTGCATTTCTTTTTCTTGGAGATGGTCTTGATTGCTGCCTCCTGTACAATGTCACAAACCTCTGTCCATAGTTCTTCAGGCACTCTGTCTATCAGATCTAATCCCTTGAATCTATTTGTCACTTTTACTGTATAATCGTAAGGGATTTGATTTAGGTCATACCAGAATGGTCTAGTGTTTTTCCCTACTTTCTTCAATTTACGTCTGAATTTTGCAATAGGGAGTTCATGATCTGAGCCACAGTCAGCTCCTGGTCTTGTTTTTGCTGACTTATAGAGCTTATCCATCTTTGACTGCAAATAATATAATCAACCTGATTTCGGTATTGACCATCTGGTGATGTCCATGTGTAGAGTCATCTCTTGTGTTGTTGGAAGAGGGTGTTTTCTATGACCAGTGCATTCTCTTGGCAAAACTCTGTTAGCTTTTGCCCTGTGTTAGCCTTCACCTTTGTACAATTCATTTGGTACTCCAAGGCCAAACTTGCCTGTTACTCCAGCTATCTCTTGACTTTCTACTTTTACATTCCAGTCCCCTATGAAAAGGATATCTTTTTTTGGTGTTAGTTCTAGAAGTTCTTGTAGATCTTCATAGAACTGTTCAATTTCAGCTTCTTCAGCATTAGTGTTTGGGGCATAGACTTGAATTACTGTGATATTGAATGGTTTGCCTTGGAAATGAAAAGAGATCATTCTGTCATTTTTGAGATTGCACCCAAGTACTGCATTTTTTACTCCTTTTTTGACTGTGAGGGCTACTCCATTTCTTCTAAAGGATTCTTGACCACAGTAGTAGATATAATGGTCATCTGAATTAAATTCACCCATGCCAGTCCATTTTAGTTCACTGATTCCTAAAATGTCAATGTTCACTCTTGCCATCTCCTATTTGACCACTTCCAGTTTACCTTGATTCATAGACCTAACATTCCAGGTTTCTATGCAATATTGTTCTTTATAGCATTGGACTTTACTTCCATCACCAGTCACAACCACAACTGGGCATTATTTTTGCTTTGGCTCCGTCCCTTCATTTTTTTCTGGAGTTATTTCTTCACTCTTCTCCAATAACATATTGGGGACCGACTGACCTGGGGAGTTCATCTTTCAGTGTCCAATCTTTTTGCCTTTTCATACTGTTCATGGGGTTCTCAAGGCAAGAACACTGAAGTGGTTTGCCATTCCCTCTGGACCACATTTTGGCAAAACTCTCCACCATATCCTGTCTGTCTTGGGTGGCCCTACACAGCACGGGTCATAGTTTCATTGAGTTATACAAGGCTGTGGTCCATATGATCAATTTGGTTAGTGTTCTGTGATTGTGGTTTTCATTCTGTCTGCTTTCTGATGAATAAGGATAAGAGGTTTATGGAATTATCAACCCCAGCCAATTGCATTTTGCCAGTATTCTCACTGTTGATTTGTTGTTGTTGTTCAGTCGCTAAGTCCTGTCTTACCCCTTGCAACCCCTTGGACTGCAGCATACTAGGCTTTCCTGGCCTTCACTATTTCCCAGAATTTGTTCAAACTCAGGTCCATTAGTTGGTGATGCCATCCAACCATCTCATTCTCTTTTGCCCTCTTCTCTTACCCTTAATCTTTCCTAAGCATCAGGGTCTTTTCCAATGAGGCAGCACTTTACATCAGGTGGCCAAAGTATTGGAGCTTCAGTTTCAGCTTCAGTCCTTCCAATGAATATTCAGGGTTGATTTCCTTTGGGATTGACTGCTTTGATCTCCTTGCAGTCCGAGGGACCCTCAAGAGTCTTCTCCAGCACGACAGTTCAAAGGGATCAGTTCTTCAGCACTCAGCCGTCCAATTGTCACATCCATGCATGAATAACGGAAAAGCCATAGCTTTCACAATACTCAACTTTGTTGGCAAAGTGATGTCTCTGCTTTTTAATATGCTGTCTAGGTTTGTCACAGTTTTTCTTCCAAGGTGCAAGCATATTTTAATTTTGTGGCTACAGTCACTGCCTGCAGTGATTTTGGAGCCAAGAAAATAAAGTCTGTCACTGTTTCCACTTTCCCTACATCTATTTGCCTTAAAACAATGAGAGTGGGTGCCATGATCTTAGTTTTTTAAATGTTGAATTTTAAGCCAGCTTTTTCATGCTCCTCTTTCACCCTAATCAAGAGGCTCTTTAGTTCTTCAGTTTCTGCAATATGGGTGGTGTCATCTGCATATCTGAGGTTGTTGATATTTCTCCTAGCAATCTTGGCTCCAGCCTGTGATTCATACAGCCTGATATTTGTCATGATATACTCTGCATATAATTAAATAAGCAGGGTAGCAATATACAGCCTTGATGTACTCCTTTTCCAATTTTGAACCAGTCCATTGTTCCATGTTCAATTCTAATTGTTGTTTCTTAACCTGCATACAAGTTTCTCAGAAGACAGGTAACATGATCTAGTATTCCCATCTCTTTAAGAATTTTCCAGTTTGTTGTGATGCAGTCAAAGATTTTAGCATAGTCAATGAAGCAGAAGTAGATGTTTTTCTGGAATTCCCTTACTTTTCTATGATCCAATGGATGTTGGCAATTTGATCTCTGATTCCTCTGCCTTTTCTAAATCCAGCTAGTACATCTGGAAGTTCTCTGTTCACGTACTGCTGATGCCTAGATTGAAGGATTTTGAGCATTACCTTGCTAGCATGTGAAATGAGTACAATTGTACTGTAGTTTGAACATTCATTGGCATTGCCTTTTTTTGGTATTGGAGTGAAAACTGACTTTTTTCATTCCTATGGCCACTGCTGAGTTTTCCAAATTTGCTGACATATTGAGTGCAGCATTTTAACAGCATTACCTTGTAGGGTTTTAAATAGCTCAGTGGATTTCTATCACCTCCATTAGCTTTGTTCACAGCAATGCTTCCTAAGGCCCACTTGAATTCACATTCCAAGATGTCTGACTCTAGGTGAGTGGCCACACCATCATGGTTATCTGGGTCATTAAGATCTCTTTTGCACAGTTCTCTGTATTCTTGCCACCTCTTCTGACTCTGCTTCTGTTAGGTCCTTGCCATTTCTATCCGTTATTGAACCCATCTTTGCATGAAATGTTCCTTTGGTATCTCCAATTTCCTTGAAGAGATCTCTAGTCTTTCCCATTCTGTTGTTTTCCTCTTTTCACTTCCTCATTGATCACTGAGGAAGGCTTTCTTTATCTCTCTTTGCTATTCTTTGGAACTCTGCATTCAGATGGGTATATCTTTTCTTTTCTCTTCTCTTCTTTTCTCAGACAGCCACTTTGCCTTCTGCATTACTTTTTCTTAGGGATGCTTTTGGTCACCACCTCCTGTACCATGTTATGAACCTCTGTCCTTAGTTCTTTGGGCATTCTGTCTACCAGATCTAATCCCTTGAATCTATTCATCACCTCCGCTGTATAATCATAAGCAATTTGATTTAGGTCATACCTGAATGGTCTAGTGGTTTTCCCTACTTTCTTCAATTTAAGCCTGAATTTTGCAATGAAGAGCTCATGATATGAACCACAGTCAGCTCCAGTTTTTTTTGTTTTTGTTTTTTTACTGACTGCATACAGCTTCTCCATCTTTGGATGCAAATAATATAACCAATCTGATTTCAGTACTGACCATCTGGTGCTGTCCATTTATAGAGTAGTCTCTAGTGTTGTTGGAAGAGGGTGTTTGCTATGACCAGTGTGTTCTCCTGGCAAAACTCTGTTAGCCTTTGCTATGCTTCATTTTGTACTCCAAGACCAAACTTGCCTGTTACTCCAGGTATCTCTTGACTTCCCAATTGCCCCTATGATGAAAAGGACATCTTTTTCTTTTTTTGGTGTTAGTTCTAGAGGGTCTTATAGGTCTTCATACAACCATTCAACTTCAGCTTCTTTGGCATTAGCGATTGGGGAATAGACTTGGATTATTGTGATTTTGAATGGTTTGCCTCAAAAATGAACCAAGATCATTCTGTTGTTTTTGAGATTGCATCCAAGTCTGAACTGCATTTCAGACTGTTGTTGACAATGAGGGCTACTCCATTTCTTCTGAGGAATTCTTGTATCTACTCCACAGGAATAGATACAATGGTCATCTGAATCATTATTAAGAAGCAAATCCCAAATATCCCATCATGTCCTGTTTCTCCTAAAAAGAACCTGTATCTCTAAAAGACAGGACAGGTCACTTACTCTAAGCAAATGTGCCTTTCCCTCCCTCCCTTATATCTTCCCGTGTTTATTGGCATCACAGTACTTTTCTCTCTGGCATTTTTTGTTCATTGTTTCTTATTTTATTGCCTCTCTCTCTCTCTCCAGTCCCACAAATGTCAGGCCGTTGAGAGCAGGGCCTCTGTCTGCTTTGTTTCCATTAAAAATCAAGGCCCTTTATAACAACTATACAGAGTACAACCCTCAAAAACTGTGATTCAAATTATTGTACATTTGCAACCTAGGAAATATTATATATCAAGTGATCTTAAATTAAATAAATAAATGAAAACATAAAACCTAAACACCAGAGTCCTACATAGTTCCTGGTACATGGTACATGTCAGAAGAAGAAAGAGAAGAAAAGTTGCTTCTGTCCAAGTGTTAGCTCTGCTTCCAACAGCAAACAATGGGAAGGACAGATGAGTGAACATGTCCGCTGACTTTCTTCTCGTGTGGTTTTCTTTTAGATAAAAAGCCCATCTTTATGAATCAAGGAAAGTTAATTTGCCCAGGACATATATTTGACAAGCCTGGACAGTAAGTATTTAGGGTTTGGAGGCCATTTGGGCCAAGAATGTAGGAAGTCACCTCTGCTGGGCAACACATGTCTTTCTCAGGACAGCTCAGGTCACTCTCTGCACCTGGCCTGGTTGGTGGTCCCTCAAGGAGCTCAGAGACCCACTCAGGCTCTGCTGAGGGCAGTATTTGGAAGATGTGCAACCAGGGATGGTAACTCTGTTCCAGGAAGTTTTTCCAAGGGACTCCAACATACTCTGTACATACAGAGGAGTCAGAATGATGACACAATATAGCCATTCCTGGTCACTTAGTTCATGGCCAGGAGTACATCTGACCCATTAAGGACTCCTCATTGTCTGATAACCTTCATTGCAGAGGCCAATCTCATGGTGCTTGGGGATAAACTCCCCTTAACCCTACAGATTTCTCTCCAGTAACCCTGATTGGCTAATGTTCAAAGTCATTACCATGAGAAGAACTGTGGGCTACGAACTGAGCCAAAAAACTGTCTCTTTGATCTGGTGGTTACCCTCTGCCTTTCTGTGCTTTAGGGAGCTTTTCATTGATTACAGCCTGAACAATGGTGTCAGCTTTGTAGGCGAAGACTTGAAAATTGTCAGCAAGGATTGTGTGAATGACAGGGTGGCACTGCGGGAACCTCAGTGGACTGCAGCTTGGGAAGAAGAAACGGAAGATGAAGGCGTATCCTGGGAAGAGGAGGTGAGGGGAGCAAATTCTTCAAGAAAGGCCAAGCAAGTAGCTAATGAGACAGACATCTCTGGCAGCACCTCACTGCCAAATAGGTGCCCTTATCTCTTCACCAGGTTTGCAAAATTCACTGTAAACTCTTCTATAAGGGCACCTAGGTTATAGGCATCTGTCCAGGCCTTGCAGATACTCTGCTCTCTCTGTGAACCATGTCATTGAAAGCCCTTCAAAGGGGCCAATTCCAGCTCTAAGCAGACTCCAGAAACAGTACAGAGGCTCTGCGTGCCCTGAACCCACCATGCCACTTCCCCTAACCCAAGGCTTGTGCGGAGCTCAAGGCTCCAGCCTGGATTCCAGCTGAGGTGAGTTGGAGAGGGTGGAATACTGTGTACTAGGTGCTATGAGACCCCTTGGCTCAAATCAAGGTGCGAGGCACAAGGATCTGGAGGGTGGGAGAACTGTGGCCATGTCCACTCAGGGTATGTCTTCACTGCATTGGTGCAGCAGCAGGCAGGGCTCTGAACTCCCTCATGACCCTCACAGCCCTAGCCTCCCAAGACTGTTTGGGGAACACTGGTAGTCACTTTGCAGAGGTCATCAGCCTCCCTTCTGCCTTTCCTCCTTTCTCATGCTCCTCCATTGTCCCTCTCTGCAAACTGGCTCTGACTTCTGCCCTCTGTTCCTGGGGAGTTTGCAGGACTGTGGGGAGGGCAGGGCTCAGCTCAGGAAGAGGAAACTGGAAACAAAGTGCTGCTCCCAGGGGCTGCTTTTCCCAGCTCTACAACATCCAGGCCACTTCACCTTGGGCAGCCCGACTTGGGCAACAGAGCATGTCAGCCTGGAGTGAGGTTCCTCTGTGAGGAGGGATGTCTCTGCCTAATGCCACTGCACTGTGTCCAGTCCCAGCTGGTGTGGGTTCTTGTAGTGTGACACTCCTCATTTGTCTGTCTCCCCTGCACTCTGAATATCCTCCTGTCAGTCTGAGACTGAACCTCCACTTTTCCCACCAGAATCTTTCCACCTGACAGCTGCTTGTCCACAGGCGCATTGAGAAGAGAACTCTGAAGCTGCCTGTGGCTCTGGGTCCAGCACAGGGTCACCCTCAGCCTGACTGGGCCTGTCCTTTCAGCCTCCCTGTTTCCTGGGCACAGGCTCTCTCTGCCCCCTTCCCTTCTGTTTACCTCCAGCAGAGCCACTGATGTAGGGAAGAGCTGGGCAGTGCAGGCCCATGTGTGCAGCACATGTACCCTTAGTTAAGAACAACAAGAGTACAGAGCTCATTCCTTAAGCCCCCATGTGGACCTGACCTAAAATGGACTATAACCTCTGTCTAACATGCTCAAGTACCCACTTACTGCCTCACCACAGATATGAGACCAAGGCTCTAAGACAGGGAGTAGCTTTGCCTGAGGTTGCTAAGCTGGGAGATGGGGGAGAGAGGCTATGGTAAGGTGAGTTGGGTGTCCTATCTCTGCTCTTCCACCCTCACTCTCAGGGGCCCTGCAGCCTCCCTCTTACTCATCTGTATATTGTAGTTTGTTGTGGTCCTCACAAAATCCTAGGGCTCTCAGCCAAAACAGGTAGTGAGGACAGGGCTGTCATTCTTTGGAAGACTGGGCTTCATTGACAGGGCTCTGGGGAGAGCCTCTGAGCAGGGCCAGTGGTAGGGTATTTAGCCAAGGGTTGCACAGTGGCTCTCTGGGTACCAGCCATGATCTCCTAGCCCTACTCTGGTCCCTGTAGATGAAGCAACCTGAGGAGAAGGAGACTTGTGAAGTCTAGTGTGGGAAGTGCATATCAGGTACACAGGAATAAGTCACCCAAGTTAACCCCTGATCTTTGGCATGTGTGCTCTCTACAGTATGAGCCTACAGAGCCTACAACTGTCCCAACAACTACCACAACGACCACAAAGCCTACCACTGTCACAACGAGGGCAACTACAACTACAATGCCTACCACAGTCATGACAACACCACCAACAACCAGAAGGACAACACAGAAGACCACCACCACCACAACAACAACACGGAAGACCACAACACCTACCACAGTCACGACAACCACCACCACCACAACAACAACAACACGGACGACCACAACACCTACCACAGTCACGACAACAACCACCACCACCACCACAACAACAACAACAACAACAACACGGAAGACCACAACACCTACCACAGTCACAACAACAACAACAACAACAACACGGAAGACCACAACGCCTACCACAGTCAGGACAACAACAACAACAAGAAAAACAACAACAACAACACAAAGGACCACAACACCTACCACAGTCAGGACAACAACAACAACCACAACACAGAAGACCACAACGCCTACCACAGTCAGGACAACAACAACAACAACACGGAGGACCACAATGCCTACCACAGTCAGGACAACAACAACAACAAGAAAAACAACAACAACACGGAGGACCACAACGCCTACCACAGTCAGGACAACAACAACCACCACAACACGAAGGACCACAAGGCCCACCACAGTCAGGACAACAACAACCACCACAACACGAAGGACCACAAGGCCTACCACAGTCAGGACAACAACAACAAGAAAAACAACAACAACACGGAGGACCACAACGCCTACCACAGTCAGGACAACAACAACAACCACAACACGAAGGACCACAAGGCCTACCACAGTCAGGACAACAGCAACATGGAGGCCCACAAGGCCTATCACATTCTGGACAACACCAAAACCATGGAGGCCCATAAGGCCTATCACATTCTGGACAACACCACCAAAACCATGGAGGCCTGTAAGGCCTATCACATTCTGGACAACAACAACAACAACATGGAGGCCCGTAAGGCCTATCACATTCTGGACAACAACAACAACATGGAGGCCTGTAAGGCCTATCACATTCTGGACAACAACAACAACAACATGGAGGCCCATAAGGCCTATCACATTGTGGACAACAACAACAACAACATGGAGGCCTATAAGGCCTATCACAGTCAGGACAACAACATGGAGGCCCATAAGGCCTATCACCTTCTGGACAACAACAACAACAAGAACAACAACAACACGGAGGACCACAAGGCCTACCACAGTCAGGACAACAACAACAACAACAACACGGAGGACCACAAGGCCTACCACAGTCAGGACAACAACAACAACAAGAACAACAACACGGAGGACCACAAGGCCTACCACAGTCAGGACAACAACAACAACAAGGACAACAAAAACAACAACACGGAAGACCACAACACCTACCACAGTTAGGACAACAACAACAACAAGAACAACAACAACACCACGGAGGACCACAAGGCCTACCACAGTCAGGACAACAACAACAACAAGAACAACAACACGGAGGACCACAAGGCCTACCACAGTCAGGACAACAACAACAACAACAAGAACAACAACACGGAGGACCACAAGGCCTACCACAGTCAGGACAACAACAACAACAAGGACAACAACAACAACACGGAAGACCACAACACCTACCACAGTCAGGACAAAAACAACAACAAGGACAACAACAACAACACGGAAGACCACAACACCTACCACAGTCAGGACAACAACAACAACAAGGACAACAACAACCACAACACGGAAGACTACAACACCTACCACAGTCAGGACAAAAACAACAACAACAACAACAAGAAAAACAACGACAAGGACAACAATGCCTACCACTGTTAGGACATGCAGGACAACAACAACAACCACAACAACAACAACAACAAGGAAAACAACGACAAGGTCAACAAGGATTACCACAATGCCTACCACTGTCAGGACAAGCAGGACGACAACAACAATGACGACAACAACCACAATGATGACAACGATGACGACAATCCCTACCACTTTCACAAAGACAACAACCTCTGTGACTACAGTTGTCACCCAGAGACCGATTCCCAGCAATCCTTTCTTGTATGCTACATTCATCACCTCACTGATTGTGATCCCATTGGTGTTTATCTGTATCTGCTGCTACAAGAGGGTGAGTGACCCATATCTAAACAGCCCCTGTCCAGCCCTCCCCAACCCCCTGAGAAACCAGGCACTTGCCTGCCCCATGATACTGCTCTTTGGCAGGTTCCCATCAGCTCTGAGGCCCTGCACCAGCAAACAAGGCACAGACTCTGTCTTTCCATATCTGGGCATAGACACAGCCTGGGCATCTAGGAGGCTGCTTGCCTCATGCCTTCACATTCAAAGGGAAGGGGTCTATGGGCTGTCCCAGCCCTGGGGAGAAGGGACACTGGACCCTCTGAGACCAAGTCTACCCTACAGCAGTCAAGATTCTGAAGGACTCAGGTGGACCAAAGCCCCTGTAGTTTTTGCTGTTGGGGGAAGGAGAGGAGTCTGCAGGAGTGGCTGTGCCTTTGAAAACAGAATGGATTCCTGCCCATCTCTGGTGTTTTCTGTCACTCTTTGATTAGTCTTCACTAAGTCACCAGGATGTGCAGGGCCCTATGCTGGGCATAGAGGGGCAGAAATGAAGCACCCACCACACTTGCCCACAGGACTTCACTGTCTGGTGTCTCCTCTGACGTTAGTACCTGGTGGCATGGGGCAGGCATTGAGGGTAAATGTCACCTTCAGAGGATATGACAGGTGCCCTGGTAATGAAAAGAATAGAGACTGGCTCTGGGCAGAGCTGGATGAAGAAGAGGAAAAAGCAGAGCTGAGAAAGGACAAGCAAAGCAGCATAAAAACCAGGAGATCAGGTTTCTGCAAAGAGCGAGAAGTGAGGAGAGAAAGCTTGGTGAGATGGAAGTGGACCATCTCCCTGAGGGCTGTTAGGCTGGGGGATGATGGATAGGGAGTAATGTGGGGAGTGTTTTTTTGTCTTCATATGATGTCAGGGCTGCTGATGAAAACTTCCCGTTGTGGCCTCTACCAGGGACAAGGGTTTTTAGACTGCCTATCTCCCCCTTGAGTCTACACGGAGGGATGAATTCCCACTGAAAATGAAGGAGCCAGTACCATACTGTCTTGATGACTGTGGCTTTGTAGTAGAGCCTGAAGTCAGGCAGTTTGATTCCTCCAGTTCCATTCTTCTTTCTCAAGATTACTTTGGCTATTCGAGGTTTTTTGTATCATGAGACAAGCGCTAGGGCCTGGAGCACTGGGAAGACTCAGAGGGATTGGGTAGAGAGGGAGGTGGGAGGGGGGATCGGGATGGGGAATACATGTAAATCCATAGCTGATTCATGTCAATGTATGACAAAACCCACTACAATACTGTAAAGTAATTAGCCTCCAACTAATAAAAATAAATGAAAAAAAAATAAATAAAATGTGACATATATTAGGGGAAAAAAAAAAGAAAATGAAGGAGCCTGAGGCTCAGGAAGGTGGAACTTGTTGGCCAAGTCACTCAGGCAACATAAGCTATAACCCCAAAACCCATGTTTTGACCCCTTATTGCTGCAGAAGAGGGTGCCTTCCTGTCTGCATGGCTGAGCCATAGTCCTTCATGCCCCATCCACCCTATTTATGTCTCTTTAACATCTTAGGTCATCAAGGAGCCACCATCAGCCCAAAGACCAGAAAAGGTAAGTGATGTGTTTGGTTCAGATGTCATCATGCCAACTGTACACACTGCTCTGTGCAGAGAGGCTTCTGCTGCCTATGGTGAGATGTCCTCTTGCAATCCTCTAGTTCCCACCTACCTGGGCAGAGAGAACTGGCAGAAAGAAGAGGGTGAAAGAAGGAAGGGAAGGACCCTAGAGTGGATGTGAGACTCATAAATGTCACCCAGACAACACTGTTCCCCAACCCCCAACACAGCTTGATCCAGGGCCTTTAGCACTGAATTCAACAATGTGGGGTAGCCCGTTTCAGGAACAGCTATATTCTCTCCTGATATCAATGGGCTTTTTGAAATTCCCAAAGGACTGTTTGTAAGATGGTCCTTTCCAGGACTCAGGTAAGTTTTGGAAAAGGATCCTCAGGTTTCAGGGACTTGGTCCCCTTCCCTGGGCTCTGATGTATGTTGGGCTTTGTTTCCTTGTTCTTTATCCTTGGCTCATTTCAGGGTGAGGGTCATGGTGGGGTTGGCCTTTGGGGACTGGAGGCTTAGGAGAGGGAAGGGAATCTTACCTGACATTGAGGTGTAAGTCCAGATGAGCACAGGGACAAAGGGTCAGGAGAGGATGCCGTGGCAGACTCAGGGTGGGGACCCAAACCAGGGCCCATAAGAAGCAGCTAGAGCAAGGGGCTCATGTCCCAAGTCAGGGGGACCTGGGTTTGAGATCTACTGGCAAACAGGGTCTCTGCCAGGGCTGGCATCAACACTGGCTGCAGTGTGGGGCCTGGGGAGGCTGAATCTGCCAGAGGTGGGTGAATGTAGCCCTGTCACCTGTTAATGCTACACCCTGGACAGCCTCCATCACATGGCACAGCCTCACACCCAGCTTCTCCTATAAGGGCGGCCTCTGGGAACAAGGGAACAGGATAGAGTTTGTTGATCTTTGGAGAAGAGCTATCTTCATAAAATAAATGAGCTTGGTGTGTTTTTACATGGAGACCACTGTCTTACTGTGCCAGATGCTGCTCATTTCTCCTTGATTCTCCAACAAACATTTGCTGAGTGGCCAGTACTTGATTGGAGAAGGCAATGGCAACCCACTCCAGTACTCTTGCCTGGAAAATCCCAGGGACGGGGGAGCCTGGTGGGCTGCCATCTATGGGGTCGCACAGAGTTGGACACGACTGAAGTGATTTAGCAATAGCAGCAGCAGCCCCAGTACTTGACAGGTGCCAGGGCAACAGATGTCATGTGTCTGCATCCAGGAGCTGTCAGATGAGAAAGCTGACAATTATTTTCTTTCTCACAGCCATGCCCTGTACAGACCACAGTGATTGTCTCCTGCTGTGAGTGCCAAGAAGACACAATAAGCCAGATGGAGGTGAGAAAGGCCCATAGGAAGGGAAGAATGATCCCCCTCAAGGCCAGAGGTTTGGAGGGGCAGGGGGGCCAGATGGATCCACATGAACTTGGGTCTAAAGTATCTGGCTTGGATGGAGATGAGCTTTATGGGCTCTCGTCTCCCACCACTTGGTGACAGAGCAAATCCAGAAGCTCTTCCCACCCTAGCGGCTCAGGGTGAGACAAAGAGTTGAATGCTCAGGTGCCCACTGCCTCCAGCTGTCCCAGCACCAGGGTCTCCCCTTGAACAGGCCCAGGATTCTGGATATTGGTGGCTGACTCATAGCTGGCCAGTTCCTAGTCCTCACAGAGATTGTCATCAGCTCTGACAATGTCCTGAGTTTCACCAGAGAGTGATTGGATGAGTGAAAAGAAACAATGACAAAGAGCCACACACAAGTCAGGGAAAAAAAGCAAAAGGAAAAGAAACTTTTGAGCCAAGATCCTACCACCATTAAAATACCCATTAAAATAGCTGTGGGAAGTGCCCACAGCTCCTGTCTGCTCAGTGAGAAAGACAAAGGGCTTACTGCATGTTCTTGTAGCACCTGAGATGGGGTGACAGGAAACTCCAGAAGGAGGGAAACTGAGGACACTTCCTTCCCCTGGGTGACTGAAATCCCCACTGGCAAGAGGCTGAGAAATGACAGGAAGGGCCCCAGGTGGCAGTTATGAGGAAGAAAGAACCATGATCTCTGGGTTCAGTTTTGCCCTCCTCCTCCTAGTCCTGCCTCTGTCCCTGTGGGATCCATTGCTTCCTCCTGGGAGCTTCAAATAGCAGCTGAAAGGCCAGCCCCATGTCTCCCCTGACAGTCACTGTGGGGGCCCAGGAAATCCAGAGCTCACCTTCCAAGAGGGAGGAAGCTGTCTGCCAGGGACTTGTTCCCACTCAGAGGACCGGCTCCACATCCTACCCCCACCAGGTCCATTTTCTTGCCTGTTCTTTGTTTTCTTCATCTTTCTCTTTCTCCCCAGTATCAATCAGGACCCTTCCTCCTGAGCAGGGAGTGGGTCTCTTCCCTGCCTTCTCCCTTTGTGCCCCCAGATGCAGACCCTCTTCCCCCTCCTTCAATCTCCTGCCCGGTCCCCGTGCCCACCATGTTTCTCCTTGAGGACCTCTCCTTAGCTACTGCATACCTCCTCCAACCTTAGACGTTTGTTTGCTTGTTTGTTTTCAAAAGCAGCCCCAACATCTCCTCCTGCACCAAAAGCACTGATTTGTTCCAGAATCCAATACAGTCTGTGACCCATAGAGACCATCTCCCAACAAACACAGAATGTTTTCCAGCCCCCTGCCCCAGGTGAAGCCTGAAGTGCTGCCTCAGCCAGTGTGTGGGGACACAGCCCTGGGGACTTGTGGGAGATGAAGGCGATGCTGCTCATCTGGAGGCAGCGTCTGTACCTGTTAGCTTCCTTACAACCATATCTGCTTTTCAGGGAAAACTGGATGTTTTTTATAACTTTCTTCAGCGCTGCAGCCTGGTGCCATTGATATGGTGTCCAACCAGACACATGGTAAGCAGGACACAGGGATGCTGTTCGTGGGCTGGGATCTTGGTTTTGCCCTTGAAAATTGTCCCCTGGGACTGAGTCAGAGAACCCTGTCCCAGCATCTGCTGAGAGGAACGCCCAAGATGTAGATACCTGGAGGCCATGAGCCTCCAGATGATTCTTCACATGGCACCCAAGCATTTCCCCTGCATCCTCATCAAGGATATTACGGCTGTTGTTCTTCAGAACAATGCCCAGAACTTCTAATCCTCAGTAAAAAGACCTGAGAGGCCTATTGGCCTTCCATCCATTGTCCCTCCCCACTACCTACCCACTCCTGTGGGACTGCTGGCTGCAGCCCACCTGTGAGACCCTCCTGGGCTGGTCTCTCAGGTTCCAGGAGTGGTGAAGGGCATGGTGACCCCCCCTCCCCAATGCTGTCTGGCCAACACTGACTGCATTTACCAGGTTGTAAAGATGCCCTCTTTGTGTCAATGTCTGTGACAATGGGGAGAAGCCAAATCATTCCAGTTGTCATCCTCCAAAATTAATAATAATGATGGATAATTTTGTTGTAGCTGTGGGTCAGTTGCTAAACCAAGAGTGTTTTCACTGCTTTAATAGTCCCAGTAACTGTATAGGTAGATACTACTATTATCTCAGCTTTATCAAGGGGGAACTGACCCACAGAGGGGTTGAGTGACTTGACCCAGGTCACAGAGGCTAGGAGGAACAAAGCTGAACTTGAATTCTGAGCCTGGTCTTTATCACTACTCTGCCCCTCTTTCAGTTCAGTACTCATGGTCTCATGATGGTTACCCTCAAACTATCAGAGAGCTGCCCTCCTCAGGCCTCTAGATTCAAAGAGGTACTGCTCCTGATTCACCTGGGAAGCACCTGCCAGGGCACGGTATTTTTCAGGGTTCCCAAGCACAGGCCTTTGGTACTCGGCCAGGGGTCTGGAGAATATTCTGTTTCCAAGGTCTGTAGTTAGGGCTACACTGACTATATTCACTGAATCAGGCAAACACTGGCTCTTGGTGGCTGGTCAGGTGGGTGTTTAGAAGCTCTTGACAGACCTGAAAGCCTCTGGACACTGTTGAGGACACATTTGAGGCATGCTCACACCCAACAGAGACATTGTCTGGTGACAGATGTGTCAGGGTGCAGCTGGGCTCCTGGCTGTGGATCTGAATAGAGCTCTCAGTCCCAGCCTTGCTTTCATAGAAGCTCCATTCTCCACATATCTCTCGATAGCTCTCTGGAGACTTGAAAGTCATGAATATATCAGTGAGCACCTGCTTGGCCAGTTCAGAATCTGTGACACAGTGACATGTCACAAGCTAAGAAATAATTGATAAAAAGAAATTGGTGAAGTGAAAATCCAAGGTCCATTCCAACAGAGGAAACATCCAGTACTTTTGCCCTAGGGCTGTTAGCGTTGGAAAATCAAAAGGCTGGAAATTGAGTACTGTCCTCATCAATCCAATGGTCAAGATATTCCCAGGTTACCAGTGTTACCCTATGGTGTGTGGGGAACAGATGAGCACCAGCAGATCAGAGTGTCACAGGAGCACCAAATCCAGACTGCATGTGGTCCACACACACTGAGTCCTCTGGTGGTGAATGAATGAATGGAAAATGAATGAATGGACACTTCTAGTCACATATATTTCTGTGTAGATGCTTTTGGTCATTTCTCTGAAACAAGGAAGCATTTTGGATCTGATGATATAAGGCACAGAAATCTGTATTGAGGGGTGCTGTGCAAGAATGTGGACAGATCCCTTTGCCATCTTCAGGAGTGATTGTAGGAATGTAGTGGCTTCAACCTGTTACCAAGTCTATGATCTTGACCTAGTTTCTTGAACATTCCAATCCTAACATTTTAATCTCAAAATCAGGGATAAAATAATAAAATACCACTGAACTTATAATGCAGTTATCAAGAATGCTAGGTTACTTTTTTGTTGAGGATAAGGGAATGTCCTAATGAGTCCAAACAGCCCAGAGTCCAGAGGTCCTGGAGTCCCTTTGGCAAATCCAATCCACAGATGCCCAGAGATGCTGTCGGCTAATCAGTATGCTCAGGCCACCCTCCTTGTCACATCCAGGACTCTCAGCTGGGGACTAGTGGGAGAAGACAGAAAAGCCAGGAACAGCTGGTAATGCAGACAGATTATGCTGCCCCAAAGGGTGCCCAGAATGAAAGTTCTGTAAGTGGTGCTGCCTTAACAGCCCATCCCCCATCTAATGGCACCATTGCCTGCCCTTGTCCTGTGGGTCCAGAACCCAGGTTGAGAGTTGAGATGAGGACTCGTCCTTTCGACACACACTCACCAAGAGAGTCTGGGCAGTGCTCGGGCTGTTGTGGCAATCAGCAGAAATCCCAGTGCAAAGGTGACCAGACAAGTTCAACACTAGAGCAAAGGGAATCCAGAGTCAGAACAGGGCTCACTGGGGAAGAGAGGGCATATGTCCAGGGCCTGAATAGAGTCTAGAAATAGGCATCCAGACTTGAGGCCAGCACCCAGGAAGAGGAATAGCATCAGTAAAAATGGGGATCCTGACAGGTACTGAGTCTGATCCCCTTGAGCCAAGGGGATCACAGCCTTCTGCTCCAATTCCAAGGCTTCTCAGTGACCCCCTCTCTCTCTCCTCTTCTTCACACAGGGAAGATGCTCCAACTTCGCCTTAATGAACCCTCACTGTGCACCAATGCTCTGTGGCCCAAATATCTGCCCTCGACCCAAACAGGAGTGTTTCCCCCTGAATAGCTGTAGCTCTCACTGGCAACATCACCAACCCATATGCACTCAGTCATTCTCCAGATTGCTGCCGCTGAGCCCTCCCACTGCCCAGAAGCTCTGCAGAAGTCCTTTGCCACTCCCACCCCCATAGCCCAATGTCTAAAGCACCAAAAACACAAACTGTTAAGAACCCCTTTTGTACCAAATTAAACATATATATTGTGTTTTGGATTACAGTCAAAAGGAGTTGGAATTTGTTGCTGATCGGCAAGAGAGTTTCTTACCTGGTGAGCACTGCTCCTCTCTATGAGACAGCTGTACTCTCCTACCAGGACAAAGCACCTGGTGTTCTGTGGATGTAGACATGATGAGTCCCATTCCCTACAGACTGGTCTCCATCTGTCACCAAGGGTTGAGATACATGGGGTGTAGGCCGAAATATGCTCTTTCAAGAGAGCCCAAAGTATCTTTGATGTGTGAATACAACCTGTGTCCATTACTCAGTTGCTGTTATTTAATCTCCTGGGCAAGTTACTTAATCTCACTGTGCTTCAATTTCCTCACTGAAAAGATGTGGATAGTGGTGTCTCCTCTAAAAGGAGCCACAAGATCAACAGTAACTGCTGCAACATGCTCATCACAGGGCCCTGTGACTTGTGAAGACTCACACTTGTGAAGACTCACTTGTGAATACCAGTGCAACAAATAAGGAACCATTAAGAATCAAGTAAACATGAGATGATGAAAAGAAGTGACTAAAACTCTCTCAAGAAATAGAGATCTATGAACTCTCTTATAAAGAATTCAGTCCTCTTAAAGCAGTTAAGTGAAATACAAGAAACATGGACAGACAGACACATGAAATTAAGGGGGAAGATACATCAACAAATTGAGAAGTTCAACAAAGAAACAAAACTATCTAACAGCCAAACTGGAGACTAGAGCTGAAAAATACCATGACTATTGTTGCTGTTGTTTGGTCACTAAGTCTTGGCCAACTCTTTGTAAGCCCATGGACTATAGCATCCCAGGCTCTTCTGTCTTCCACTATATCCTGGAGTTTGTTCATATTCATGTTCATTGAGTCAGTGATGCTATCTAACCATCTCATCTTCTGCCATGCTCTTCTCCTTTTGCTTTCAGTCTTTCCCAGCATCAGGGTCTTTTCCGATGAGTAGGCTCTTTGCATCAGGTGGCCAAAGTATTTGAGTCTCAGCTTCAGCATCAGTCCTTCCAATGGATATTCAGGGTTGATTTCCTTTCGGATTGACTGGTTTGATCTTTTTGCAGTCCAAGGGACTCTCAAGAGTCTTCTACACCTACCTCTACAGTGCACGAAATCCAAGTAGAAGGGGAACCAATAGACAGTACCTGTCACTGTAGCACTGAGTACAGATGACCACAAAGAGAGGCTAAGGGGACATATTCATGCAACCCTGTCCCCCAAAATTTCCCTCTCTCCCCTCAATTCTCTTTGAGCAAAGAGGTTTTTGTGTCATGTGGCCAGCAGTGGTCTGGAGCTAGCTCATAGGGCCTTGTAGGATTTTCAAGAATTTTGCGAGCCAGCTACTTTAACACAGCCATTATAGAAAGCTGCATTAAGTAAGCTGTTAATAAATTATATATTTTTAAAAGGCAATAAATACCCCCAAACTCAGAACTTCCTAATTCTTTTACTAGTTTTGGCTATTGAATATCTTGCTGCAGATGGAACTGCATCTGTGGTTGTGTATGGTAGTTGTGGTGCCCTGCTCCTGTGCATTTCTGCCCAGCTCCACATCTAATGACATCAGGAGAAGAGAGAACCATAAACCCTGATAGGGAGACATTCACCCCTGTCCTTCCCTGAATGGCTCCACCAGCAAGTTCTTGAAGCTCACAGGTCCATCTTCAAGAGTCTCCTCAGTTTGTGAGAGGTTTGCCAGACCACACTCCACTGAGTGTTCTGAGTTTTATCATTAAGAAATATGTGTCCTGAGCCCAGGAGGACCTCAAGGAGTGGACAGCTCTGCTCCTTCCTCACAGGGACATCATTTGGGTTCAACTCAGCTGCTTACTCTTGCCCTGCCTCCTGCCCCACCTGTAAAAGCATCATAGCTATCTTCCCACCTGCTCACTATCTGGGCAAATGGAGTCTGTGACATGTTTTGCATATGTTACCTCCTTCCATCTTTCATATACCTGGAGGGCCATCACTATCTTTCACGGATGAGGAGGATCCAGGTTCTGCAATACTAAACATCCTGTCCAATGTCCTCCTACAAGGATGAGGCACAGGCTACACGCACCATGTTATGATCCCCAACTCCTCTCAGATGACCTCTGTGGATGTGTGAGGTTATCTCTGGGTCACTCCTGGCCCTGGACTGTAAGTTCTGGGTCAGGGACTACATGCACAGTCACTCAGTCCTGCCTCTGTCCCCACTTCCTACGTGGACCTGCCAATGCCCTTTGCAACTGGAGGGTGGTTCCCTGTCCAGACGATCATCGGGCAAAGCAGAGCTGCTCCCTCCTCTTTCTCCTTCCAAAGACACCAGCTGTTCTGGCAGTGAGTAGATCTATGCAGCCCTTGTTGTTTTGCTCCCATCCAGTGTTAGAGGAACTTTGCAGAACTCCATGCCCCTCAATAGCCTCAGTTCATCTTGACCTTCTGTTCCCTGATACTATTTACTCCTGTTGCCCTATTGTATGTGTCCTGAGAAGGGGTTCTTCTTGTTTTCCTTGTGTCTTTCAGTCTGAGCTCAGCAAGACAGCCCTCTGAGTCACATTGACATCTTTCAGTACCACCCATTGTCTTCCTGTTGAAAGAAACTGATTTCAATCCCAGATAACCCAACCTTTTCCCAGTCCTTAGATCATGGGCTCATGGAGTAATGATCATGGCAGCTTTCTGAAACTGAGCTCCGCAAGTCAGCAGTATTGAGGAGTACATTTTCATGGACCCCACTAATAAATGAACTTGACTTAATAGTTAAAGAAGAGTCAAATCAAGTTGTTTTTTAATTCTAAGTACTTTTTAAAGGAAAAACATTTAATATATAAGAATATTAAAAAGTTGATTATAAAAGAATATGCCACGATGCTGGGCAAACCAAAAGAAGGCTGGAGTCTTCAAGAACAGTAATGAAAACCAGTATGAGGGTTAAAGAGGGCAAGTTCTTGATGGTTAACATTTTATTTCTCAGAAAACTACATTATTGTTTAACTGGCATGCACTTACAAAAGAAATATTATAACTGATAAAGAGAAATTGTCAAATCCATTTTATACTGAGAAACTGGAACAACTGTCTGTTAAAAAGACAAAATATTACTTGAACTGTAGAAGGTTTGAACAACACAATAAACTTAGAATAATGGGATTTATAATGTAATAATATATATAACTTAATAATAAGGAATCTTCTATTCAGTCATGTATCAAAATAAGCCCAAATAAAAGTAAAAGAAATGGGGACTTCCGGGGTGGTCCAGTGGTTAAGACTCTGTGTTTCTAAGGCATGGGATGCAGGTTCCATCCCTGGTCAGAGAATGAAGATCCCACATGCCACATGGAATGGCCAAAAAAATTAAAAGTAAAAGAAATAATCAAAAGACCATATTCTCTGATTACAATGCAGTTGGTCTGGATATTGATGATAAAAAGAAAGTTTGAAAAAACACATACAATCAAAAATTTTAAATCATACATGTAAATAATTATGAATCAAAGGACAGATCAAAACTAAAATTAAAATGTTCTTAAAATCAAATGATAGTAATTATTACTTATTAAAACCTATGAGATACAGTGAAAGAAAAATTTAAAGAAATATTTGAGGCCCAAACAGAAAAGGTGAAATATGAAAATCAATAAGACAATAATTGAATGAAATGTATTAGAAAAATAATTGCAAAATACTCCAAAAAAGTGAAAGGAACAAGATTTGAAAGAACAAATAAATAAAATGAAAAACTAAAATTCAGTAGGGAGTAGGAATGAAACCTAAATTTATTTGAGAAGTTTACAATTATAGATACTACACTAATGAAACTGATCATAGAACATGGCAGTGTTTCCCAACCTTTTTTTAAAAAAATTATTTTATATTGAAGTATAGTTGATTAACAATGTTGTTTAAGTTTCAGGTGTATAGCAAAGTGATTCCGTTATAATCTATTCTTTTTCAAGTTCTTTTCTCATTTAGGTTATTACTATTGAGCCAAGTTCCTGTGTTATACAGTAGTTTTCTTAAATATCTTTTTCCTTATAGCCCCCTCATGAAATTTTAGTACCATTGATAAACTATTTATCTCTTTCTGTACACTGTCCTTCATACTTCAAAAAAGTAAGACAAGATTTCACCTCCTTGGGGCCATATTCTCCCTGCTATGAATATATAGAATAAGAAAAGACATAATTAAGTTCTAATAGAAATTATAAAGAAAGTATAATTACAGATAGAAACATAAAAATCAAACATTCTGAAAACTTTATACCAATATATGTGAATAGATAATCAAATTCCAAGAAAAACGTGATATTTGAAATGACTGACAAAATAAACAGAAGCACTCAATAATCCATGTATTAGTCTGCTTGGGTTATCACACAAATACTGCAGACTGGGTGACTTGAAACAAATTTCTGGAGGCTGGACACCTAAGATCAATGTGTCAACAGGGTTGGATTCTAATGGGACCTCTCTTCCTATACTGAGGCCATCCTCCTGCGATGTTCCCCACTGCCTTTTCACTATGACCGTGTGGAGAAATAGATGTGGTGACCCTTCCTCTTCTTGTGAAGACAACATATCTGTAGCATTAAAGCCCAGCCTTCTGATCTCATTTAACCTTAATCATGTCCCTAAAGCCCCTGTGTCCAAAAGCAGTCACATTAAAGGATTAGGGCTCAATATATTAATTTGGGAAGAGGGGTATTATTCAATGTGTAGCACTTAGTAAATATTTTTAAAAGTTGTATCAGTGTTTTAATTTCTTCCCACACACACACACACACACACACACACAAACACCAGATAGAGAAGATATCATACAAAATATAAGCAACAGACTCTCAGACATAGAAAAGAGACTTATGTTGCCAAAGGGGACAGGAAGGGAAAGAGTGACAAATTATAAGCATGGGATTAACAAGTGCAAAAGACTATGCATATGCAGATAAGCAACAAGAATTTACTGTATAGCACAGGGGATTATATCCAATATCTTTAATAACTTGTAATAGAATATAATCTGAAAAATAGAACTATATTACTTTGCCGTATACTGAAACTAACACCATATTGTAAATGAATACTCAATTTTTTTTAAAGATGTCGAATAAACAAAAAATATATTAAAAAGGACAATACCAAATGTCAAGAAGAATGTGCAACAAGTAAAACCTAATTATGATGTCAGGAGTATACCACATCTCATCAATTCCAAATATCATATCATATATTTAAGATGTTCCATTATTTTAAATATCTTTCCAACAACAACAGACAGAAAACAAGAACAGCAGTAATTGCTAACACAATATTTTCCATTATAAGTATTTTTAGTAGGGGTGGGGTGTCACGCTGCCGTTAGGGCAAGGCTGTTAAGCACAAGACCTTATTGCGACATCGTTAGTGCCCATGGTTAGAGGTCCCACTGCTCCATCAGTCAGCCTGACAGAGACCCCTGTGGCAGGGAGTATGGTGAGAAGCAGATCCAGGCTTTCTCCCTGGGGCCCTCCAGGGCCTCCAGAATCAGGCCGGCAGGTGAGTCGGGGGCAGGAGACAGGCTGAGGGCTGTATCCTGTAGAGCTCAAGAGCCCTCACCACAGCCGCCTACTGATCAGACCCAGGCTTTGAAGCAGCGGCCAACCCCGCCCCCATCCTACCTCCATGACCTAGTGGTGGCAACAGTCTCCCTGGGTCACAGTTCACAGGACCCAGCCCCTGTTTGGGTGGCCTTGGGAGCCTGAGGGCCAGCAGGGTCCTGGGTTCCTGGCTCCCTCAGTGATGATAGCTGGTCAGGGACTGGAGACCTGGATCTGAGGGCATCACTAGCTGAGATCTGCTTCCTCAGCCAGACCTGGACACTGGAGGAGGATCCAGACTGGGTGCTAAACGAAAGTCCTGGGCAGGGAAATTAGACCCCATCTGGACTCCCTCTTTTTAGCCAGGGACTGGACCTCAGAGGACCAAAGTTGAGTCAGGTAAAGTGAGGGGTAATGATGTCACTTTGTTTATGGGATTTGTTAAGTGTTAAAAGTCAAAAGGAGGCAAGGAGACAGAATTAAATGCCTCATCTTCCCTTTCTTGTCAGAATGGAAAAGAGCATTTCTTTGGTGAGATTAACAAACATGTTGTGACCTGACTGTGACCTGACCTCAGGAACAAAGGATCTGACACCAAGAAATTTGCAACAACTAACCATGTCCCAGCCTCACCTTTCCTATAAAAGAGCTTTCCTGAAAGCTTTCAGGGGGTTCCGGGATTTTTAAGGCCTGAATCACCTGTCTTTTTGCTCTGCAAAGGCACTGCAATAAACCTTTGTCTGCTCCAAGCTCCGACATTTCGACGTTGTTTGGCTTCATTGTATGTTGGGCACATGGACTTGTGTTCCATAACTATTTTAGATTTATTAAAGAATAGATTTTTATATATATCACTCTTTCGTGCATACAAAAGGAAACAAATTGGTTAAAATACTTCTAAACATTTTTACATTCAAAAGTGTTTTTCACTTTTGATTCAAAGTTGTTAATGCCCAGTGTTGCTCCATGGAGCAGAGATAGGCCATCCCTACTCAGCCCTTTCTGATTTCTAGTCACAGAATTTGTGGGCATAATACAGAAGTTCTTGTTTTATGTCACTCAGTTTAGGGTGGTTTGTTAAACAGCAGAAGATAACTGGCATGTTTTTCATTCACAAAGAACTTTGACACTCTTGCAAGACCTTCTCCTTCTAGATCCTTCATCCACTGTGTCACAAGAATGACCACTGCAACACTCTACATTCCCAGTTCCTGGATGTCCTCCCAGTGGTGATGTCCATATCAAAGCCACCTCAGCTGCCCTCTTTCAGTTGACAAAAAAGGAGGATTTCTCTGGGATTTTAATGGCTGCTTGAGAGGATTTGGGATGAGAGACAGAGGCCTCATCTTACCACCCCTCCAAAGATCCTCTACCCGCCCTCTGGGATTATCAACAGGAGGACAATGAGCAGAGCTGCAGGTCACAAAGTCACCATGCCAACCTTCCTGTCCGTCATAAGGGTCATCACAGAGAAGTCAGTCTCCTTGGGGTGGGGGAAGGGCTATACCCCAAGGCCAACCATTCTGCCTCTTCACCCTCAGGGCAGGTACCTGGGGAAAGCTCACAGTGCACTATAGTTAGAGGACTGGATGTGCCAAGGTCCCTGGGTACAAGTAGAGAGGATAGTGGCACTGGCCTGAGGTGGCCTGGAGTGGCTAGGATCAAGTGGGAATTCAGGAGTGGCCAGTCAAATGGAGAGCAGCGGGCCCTCGGTGCTTTGCCCTGGGCTCCTCCTTTTGCTGTTGCTGCCCCTTCCACTGCTGTGTGCAGAGAGCCTCCAGTACAGTGCCTTGGACTGGAGAAATCCCCACCAACGCCTTTGCAAGGATTGGGGAAATGTTCATCGTTACCTCAGCCCAGATGAGATAAGCTTCCATGGTAGCAACCTACAGCACAGGAGCAAGTCCAGCAAGTTGCATGACTGTGACGGTGACTTCGGCCTCTATTTCGTCTTGGATGCGTGAGTGGCCCTCCCACCTGGCCCCGGGCGCCCCTCGAGGCACCTCTGTCATTAACCTTACTGATGGCAGGGAATGGTCCAAGGGGACCCCAGGCTCTGAGAAAGAGGACGCAAGGGCAGTCTGGATCAGACCCATCTGTGACTCCCTTGTTCCTGAGGCAGAAGGAATGCTAAGTGACAGACGGCAGACACAAAAGCACACATACTGTATGATACAATTTATATGAAATGTCCAGGATAAGTAAGTCCACAGGGACAGAAAATAGATGAATGCTCACAGGGGATAGAAAGATGTGGGGGCGGGGGGGAGTGGCGGCGGGGGGTGGTGGTTGGGGATTGACTGCTAGTAGTGACAGATTTGGTGGGGGGGAGTGATAGAATTTTTTTACAATTAGTGGTGATGGTTGCATGACATAGTGACTAAACTAAAAACCACTGAATTGTAGTCTTTCAAATGGTGAAAGTGAAAGTGAAGTCATTCAGTCGTGTCCAACTCTTTTCGACCCCATGGACTATAGCCTACCAGGTTCCTCCGTCCATGGGATTTTCCAGGCAAGAATACTGGAGTGGGTTGCCATTTCCTTCCCCCATTCAAACAGTGAACTAGATGTTAAATAAATTTTGTGCTCGGTCATGTCCAACTCTTTTGTTACCCCACGAACCATAGCCTGCCAGTCTTCTCTGTCCATGGGATTTTTCAGGCAAGAATACTGGTGTGGATTGCCATCTCCTCCTCCAGGGGATCCTCCCAACCCAATGATCGAACTCGTGTCTCCTGCATCTCCTACATTGGCAGGAGGATTCTTTACACTGAGACACCCAACAGTGACTTCATATAAAATATAAATTTTATTTCAATTTTTTAAACTATTCAGAGAAAAGAGGAAGGGGAAAACATTGTAGAATGTGTCAGGCAGTTAAATAATAAAAGTTATAATAATAAAATTATATCACTTTTCTGAAAAAAAATGGGCAGAAGACTTGAATAGATATTTTTGCAGAGAAGACATGTAGATGACTAACAGGCACATGAAAAGATGCTCAGCATCGATAATTGTTAGAGGAATACAAATCAAAACCACAATGAGGTATAATCTCACCCCTGTCAGAATGGCTATCATCAAAAAGTCTACAAAATGTTGGTGAGGATGTGGAGAGAAGGAAACTGATACACTATTGGTGGTAATGCAAACTGGTATAACCACTATTAAAAACAGTATTGAGGCTCTTTAAAAAACTGAAAATTGAACTACCATATGGTCCAGCGATTCCACCCCTGGGTATAAATTTGAGAAGATAGATGCACTTCATTGTTTATAAACAGTACAATTTCCAATTGAAAAAGCATGAAAGCAAACCAAATGCCCATAAACAGATGATTGGATTAAGATGATGTGTTATATATATAAATATATATATGAATATTACTCAGCCATAAAAAATGAAATAATGCCATTTTAGCAACATAGATAGACTTAGAGATTATTATGCTATGTGAACTAAGTCAAACAGAGAAAGACAATATTGTATGGTATCAGTTACATGTGAAATCTGTTTAGATTATTATTGTTTTATTATTATTTTATTATTGTATTATTGTTTAATAATACAAAGGAATGCGTATACAAAGCAGAAACAGACTCACAGAGAAAACAAACCTGTGGTTACCAAAGGGGAGAGGAAATGGGGGAGAGAAAATTAAGGGTATGAGATTAACAGATACAAACTACTATATATAAAATAGATAAACGGCAAGAAATTACAGGAAATTATACCCATTATCTTGCATAATTTATAATGCAATATAATCTGCACAAATACCAAGTCACTATACTGTACCTGAAACACAATATTGTAAATCAACTACACTTCAGTGAAAAGAAGATTATTCTGAGCTCTTTGTCAGACAGTCCAAAGATCTCCATTTTTAATTGAAATATAATTGAGTTACACTGTTGTGTTTCAGTCTACAGAAAACTGATTCAATATATACATATTCTTTTCCATTATAGCTTATTACAAGATATTGAATAAAATTCCCTGTGCTATACAGTAGGTCCTTGTTGTTTATCTATTTTGTATATGCTGCTGCTGCTACTAAGTCACTTCAGTCGTGTCCGACTCTGTGCGACCCCAGAGACGGCAGCCCACCAGGCTCCCCCACCCCTGGGATTCTCCAGGCAAGAACACTGGAGTGGGTTGCCATTTCCTTCTCCAATTTTGCATATAGTAGCGTTTATAAGTTAATCCCAAACTCCTGATTTATTCCCTCTTCCTCCCTTCCCCTCTGGTAACCATAAGTTTGTTTTCTATGTCTGTGAGACTGTTTCTGTTTTGTGAGTTCATCTGAATCATTTTCAATGTTCTACATATAAGCAACATCATAAGTGATCTCTTCTTTATCTGTTTAACTCTCAGTAGACATTTAGGTTGCTTACACATTTTGGCTATTGTAAACAGTGTTGTTATAAACATTAGGGTATATGTATCTTTTCAAATTAGAATTTTCATCTTTTCCAGATATATGCCTAGGAGTGGGATTGATGGATCATATGGTAACTCGATTTTTAGTTTTTTAAGGAACCTCCATACTATTCTCCAGAGTAGCTGAATCAATTCACATTCCCATCTACAGTGTAGGAGGGTTCCCTTTTCTCTACACCATCTGCAGCATTTATTATTTGTAGACTTTTTGAAGATGGCCATTTTGACCAGTGTGATTGCATTTCTTTAACAATTAGTGATGTTGAACGTGTTTTCATGTGTCCAGGCTCTTCTTCAGGAGACGTTTCTGCTCAGGAGGATCCTAGAACCTCTTCCCTAAATGCTCAGGACCCCAGCAGCCCCATGTATTACACCTGCTCCATGGCTTCTGTGGTCTGACCTCCTAAATTTAGAATATAGGAAAACAGGGTGGGCAAACTGTGAATTTGGAGGCAGGAGATAATTATTCTTCTTTCTCTAGTTCCTTAGATTTCAGAGTTCACAGCTATTAGAATGAATAGATATGTTAGACTGTGAAGACCTCATAGATCATCAAGCCCAATTTCCACCTGTCCCCTTTCAGAAAAAGACTCATTTTTGCCTGCTTACATGCACCCAGTGACCAGGGTCATGTTTCCTATAGATCCAGCCCACTCTTTTTGGAGAGATAACTGAATTTTAGATAATACTTCCTTGCATGGAGCAACAGTAACATTATTATATAGCTCAAAAATGACCCTATCTGGATAGAATGGATTCTGAGGTCCACTAACAGTACATTATTTGTTTTCTACTTTGTTTTGTTTTTCTTTTAATACTGTGTGTTCCCCAAGATTACTTCCTGCTCCAGGCTGAAAGTGATCACTTCTCTGCATTTCACATCCCTGTGCTTTCTACCTTACACTCACTCCCTTCAGCTTTTCCTTTGTTTTCAGATGACCTAGTGACTATACACTGGTTACTTGCTTAATATACTAACTACATCAGCCCCTCTTTTCCTCTTTTAGTTCACAACTAACCCCATTAGGTGGGTGGGTTAACACTTAAGGGAAAACTGAGCCTCAGAGGGCTTCCCTGTGACTCAATGGTCAAAAACCTGCCTGCCAATCCAGAGGATGTAGGTTTGATCCCTTGATCAGGAAGTTCCCCTGGGAAGGAAATGGCAATCCATTCCAATATTCTTGTCTGGTAAATCCCATGGACAGACGGAGCCTGGTGGGCTACAGTCCATGGAGTCACAAAAGAGTCAGCCACAACTTACCAACTAAACAACGAGCCTCAAAAAGATTAACTAGCATGCTCCAGAGACTAAGTGGAGATTCAAACTTGGGTCTTCCAACTCCTGGATGCCTGGCTACAAGGTACATGGTATTTGTTGTTCTTTTTAAAGCTCTTTTTAATACAATACACATAATATAAAATTTTCCTTTTATGTACATTCATAGTGTTGTGCAACCATCACTACTATTCATCTCTAGGATGTTTTCACCATCACATATTGAAACTGTACACATTTTTTTCACATTTAAGTTAGCTCTATTTCTTGCCCTTGACAAATATCTCCCCAAACCCTCTTCCCCCAAGTCCCTGGCAACCGCCATTCTCCTCTGTGCTTCTGAGTTTGCCTATTTTAGATTCCACCAAAAAAAAAGAGAAATTGTATAATATTTGTCTTTTGTGCATGGCTTATTTACTTAACGTAATGTCTTTAACATTTGTGTCAATGTGTGTTGACACAAAAAGCAAAAATTTCTTTTTTTTTAAAGACTAAATAATATTCTATTGTTTGTGTATATCATGTATTCTTTATCTGTTACTGGGCACTTAGATTGTTTCCATATCTTGACTATTGCAAATAATGTTAAAATGAACATGAGAGCACACATACATATCTCTTCCAGACCCTCGTTTTATTTTCTTTGTGTCTATACCCAGAATTCCACCTATATTTTAAGAAAAAAGAATTGAAGAAAAGACTTTTCCATTATTTTCATCCTCATTTCCCACTTTTTTTGCTCTCCAATGATGAGCATGCCTCTAGCAGAGAAAAATCAAATAAGTAGAAATGGGTCAGTCATTGAGGCAGCACCACATGCTGCCTGGTTCATTGTTCCATCACATATTCATCACGGATAAATGGAAAGTTAACAGCACCCAGAAAAATGCACCACAGGAATCATTCTCCTGTCAGGCACGGAGACATCCAGGACAATCACCATCTGTTTGAAGGCTGACTCTCTGGGGCAGAGCCTTGCTTAAGATATAATCCAGTCACATAAACCTGCCTGCCCTTAGCTCTCTTGGAATCCCTCTTTCTAAGCCTTCCTTTTTTTTTTTAAATAGGCGAATAATTGCTTTACAATGTTATGTTGGTTTCTGCCATATAACAACATGAATCAGCCCTAAGTATACATATGTTCCCTCTCACTTGAACCTCCCCCCTCACCCCCAACCCTATCCCACCCGTCTAGATTGTCACAGAGTACCAAATTGAGCTCCCTGTGTTACCCAGCAAC